GCAACTGGATATGATTTTGAAAACGTCAGACGTTTCAGCTAGTATCCACTAGCTTTCGTCAGTGACTGAGAGACCAGAGGGGAAAGCAGGTTTATATACACAACCTGTTGATTGATATGCAAATAAAGTGAAGACAAATTTTTGGAAGTCGAAAAAGGAACAAAAGTCAGACAAGTCAAGACAAGATGATGCAAATTAGTCTGAAAGCTCCTGTTATACAGGACAGGAGCTTAAGTGTTGTCTGTCCTCGGGGCTGGGAGTGCCAAATCCCAAGTGCCGGAAAGATCGACCCGTAGCCCCCCTTCCCTGTTGAGGGTGGGGTTGTACATTCTTTCATATATTGCCTCTTTAATACCCCGTTCCCACCAGCGTGTTTCGCGGTCTAAGACATCCGTGGACTCGAGTTTGAAAGAGTGACCCTGGTTGTGTTGTAGGTGGTGGAAAATAGCTGAGGAGTAGCCGTTGGCACTAGGTCGGCAATTGTTCTTTTGTACCTTACTTTAAGCGGTCGACTTGTCTGTCCGATGTAGGTGTAGTTACAATTGGGCTCCTCACATTTGAGTCTGTAAATAACATTCGCCTTGGTACCCTTGTGAGGTCGGTCCTTAGGGTGTACCAGTCTTTGTCTGAGGGTTGAGTGAGGTTTGAAGTTAGTGGCTATGTTGAAGTTTTGGAAGATCCGTCGGAGTTTCTCAGATACTCCTTGGACATACGGAATAGTGATGTTGGCCTTGTTTTTGTTGGTCAATGGTTTGCACTTCTGGGTTTTCTTAGACTGATCTGAAGGTTTGAGCGCTTTGTTGAAAGTCCAGTTTTGGTAGCCACATTTAGCCAGGGCACCTCGGAGGTGTCTTTGTTCGTCCGTTTTGGCTTGGTCTGAAGTGACAATGTTGTCTGCACGATGGAAGAGAGTTTTGATCACTGCTAGTTTGTGTTCCAAAGGGTGGTGGGAATCAAAAGCCAGGTACTGATCAGTGTGGGTTGGTTTCCTGTACACTTCGAAACGAAGGTTACCATCTTCCTCTACGATAGTTTTGGTGTCTAGGAAAGGGAGCATGTTGTCATGGCTTGGCTCCTGTGTGAACTTGATGTTGTCATCTATCTGGTTGATGTGGTCAAAGAAGCACCGATCATCTTACTGTGCCGACTGTGTATGGCTGCTGTCATCGACAACATGGCCGTCTTTGTCACGGGGTGGCCAGCCCTTACGCGATACTCGGAATACTTAAGAATAGTACTCTCCTCTTCTTTGGACAAGATTGGAGGCCTACCTTCCGTGCGTCGAGTTTGCTCTTTCTAGACAACTTATCATTCAGTGTAGTCCGCGGAATGGTGTACTTTCTCGCGGCTTCGGCGGGTTATAGACTATTCTCTTTAATGTCCCTCAGGACTGTTTCCATAAACTCGGGTTGCCATGACCTCTTTTTACGTTTCGCCTCAACTGCTGAAAATCATGCAATTTACGCTGGTTTAATTTCATGTAACGTTACATTTTTAATTATGTTTTCTTAGGTAGTGTTGAACGGTTTAACTTGGTCACATAAAGCGTCCTAATGCCTGTACAATAACTTTTAATCGCTGTATAAGAGAGTTCGTGCTTTAGAGACAGCTAAAAAAGCTGCTCCAGGATGCATCAAGAAACAGAAAGAACGGGAACAGCAGATTCTACGCCATCGCCTTGAACTCCTGAAACAGAAACAAGAAGATAAGGACAGAAACATAAAAAGGGTGTTTCTCACTCTGGAGAAGTCAAAGATCTGTGATGCTGTGCAGAAAGATGGTGGTGAATGGAAGAGTCCAGAGGAAGTTGAAGAGAGACTGTGTGGCTGTGGAACTGAGTCAAAACAGAAGGAAAAAATTCTCACAAATCTTCGATTCCACAGAGTGGTGCTCCAGGATCCTGTTCCAACTGAAAAAGTACTTACTGCAGCAGCATGTAACTGTAAATGGAACTGCAAGAAAGTTCTCTACATCGGAACTGAAGGAAAACTTGATTGAACTGATAAGAATGAACACTTCGTGTTACAACAACAATAATGAGGATGATGATGATGATGATGAGTGCTTACACGGTGAAGCAGGACAGTCCACAACGCACAAGTCAATAGACAATGTCAGTGAACTAGTACAAGTTGAGAAGGAAAGAATGAAGTAAAAGAAAAATAAACAAAGAGAGAAACTTTGAAGATACCTGAATTATGTACTGTATTTCACTAATTAGTATGCAGATATGCTAATTGTCAATTCTAAAAAAAAACCTGGAGATTATTTACTTATTACCCATCCGGTGTCAAGTGAATGTGATATTTTTGCTCAGAATGTGGAGCGATAAATTGCAACAACGTCATGACAGATACCTAAATTATGTACTGTATTTAGCTAATTAATATGCAAATATTCTAATTAGCAATTAAAGAAATCCTCAGGATTTTTTGTTTCCCTTGCTGTGTCAGGTCTCTCATAATGTCCACGCCTTGTCGCGGTATGATAGCTTGCGTGTCTCAATGACCCCAAGAGCTATGCCAGCGGGAGTGCTTAGCACTCCTGGCAGGGTCACCCATGCTGGACAGGTCAAGGGGTAGAGGCCAGACGAAATGTGGACAACCTCTACCCAGAGGTTAAAAGGGTTGGCGTAGGGTCAACACCCCTACCTGTAAAAAGAAACAGTTACAGAAGCACCGATGATGAGAACCCAACATGAACCCGTCATGGGAAAGGAAGGGCCCCCACACAGGGGGTTCATGACGCTAGACAGTGAAAGCCGAAAGGAAACTGGAAAGCTGACTCCCCTTCTGACACCCAAGACAAGCATAAGAATAGGCGCATGGAATGTTAGAACCATGTATGAGTCAGGAAGAACAGCGCAAGTTGCTAAGGAAATGAGGAGCTATAGACTGTCTCTACTAGGGCTCAGTGAGACAAGATGGTTGCAGACAGGTCAGCTTAGACTAGCAACGGGAGAGTTGTTACTGTACTCAGGACACACTGAGGAGGGAGCCATACACTCGGAGGGAGTCGCCCTGATGCTGGCCAGGGAAGCACAGGGGGCACTCATAGGCTGGGAACCCGTTAGTCCACGCATCATAACTGCCAAGTTTGCCACTAAGAAAAGCAACATTAACCTGCAAGTAATACAGTGCTATGCACCTACAAATGATGCTGAGGAAGAGAAGAAGGAGGAGTTCTACAAGCAACTGCAAGATGTGCTAGATAAGGTTAGGAACAAAGACGTCACCTTACTCATGGGCGATTTTAATGCCAAGATAGGGTCAGACAACACAGGTCATGAGGAAGTGATAGGTACACATGGGTTAGGCCAAATGAATGAGAATGGGGAAAGATTCACCAATCTGTGCTCTCTTAACCAACTTGTCATAGGAGGTAGCATCTTCATGCACAAGCGCATCCACAAAGCCACATGGAGATCACCCGACCACATCACAGAAAACCAAATTGACCACATGTGTATCAGCCAGAAGTTCCGACGACTGTGGAGTGATGTAAGGGTGATGAGAGGGGCAGATGTGTCTTCAGACCATCACCTTCTGGTGACGTCAGCACGGCTGCGGTTGAAGAAGTATTCCACATCTAACAACCCACGTAAAAGATACAACGTAGGACTGCTTAAGGACAAGAACACACGGAAATCCTTCAAACTCAGCCTGTCCAATAAGTTCCAACCTCTACAGGAACTTTTCAAGGAGGAAGATACAGGTATCGAGGACCAGTGGCAACAGGCCAAGAAGGGATGGCTGGACACATGTGAGGAGGTTTTGGGCAAGAAGAAAGCACATCAGAAAGAGTGGATCTCCTTCACCACCCTTCAGAAGTTGGAAGCTAGGAAACAGAAGAAAGCTGCTCTGAATGAAAGCCGAACAAGATCAGAGAAGGTTAAGGCACAGGAATCATACACGGCTGCAGATAAGGAAGTGAAAAGAAGTATCAAAAGGGACAAAAGGGACCACTTTGAAGAGCTAGCTAGGCAAGCAGAAGAAGCAGCAGGGAAGGGAAACCTGAAGGACCTGTACATGACAACGAGGAAACTAGCAGGGAAATTCCAGCAGGTGAACAAGCCGGTAAGGGATAAGGAGGGTAACCTACTCACAACAACGGAGGAGCAGCTGAAACGATGGGCGGAGCATTTCAGCGAACTACTAAACCGGCCAGCTCCAGATACACCTCCAGACATCCCACCTGCAGATGCAGAGTTACCCATCAACACAGGAAAACCTTCCAAGATAGAGATAAAGAAGGCCATAATGTCACTCAGCAATGGGAAATCAGCCGGACCAGACGATATACCTGCAGAAGCACTCAAGGCAGACATAACAAGCTCGGTCAACATGCTACACAGTCTGTTTGGTAAGATCTGGGAGGAGGAGCAAGTTCCATCAGAGTGGAGAGAGGGCATACTGGTTAAGCTTCCAAAGAAAGGGGATCTGAGCAGCTGCAGTAACTACAGGGGGATCATGCTTTTATCAACAGCGGGGAAAGTCTTCAACAGAATTCTTTTAGAACGAATGAGAGATGCTGTAGATGTCAAGCTTAGAGATGAACAGGCAGGGTTCCGTAAGAGTAGATCCTGTGCCGACCAGATCGCCACGCTGCGCATCATAATAGAACAGTCTCTGGAATGGAACTCTCCACTATACATTAATTTCATAGACTACGAAAAAGCTTTTGATAGCATAGATAGGGACACCTTGTGGAAGCTGCTACGACACTATGGGATACCAGAGAAGTTCATATCTCTAATCCAGAACACATACAGACACATGAGTTGTAAGGTAGCACATGCGGGACAGTTAACGGAAAGTTTTGAAGTGAAGACTGGAGTACGCCAGGGCTGTCTGCTCTCGCCACTTCTTTTCCTGTTGGTGATTGACTGGATCATGAAGACATCAACTACAGGAAGGAGAACTGGGATCCAGTGGTCACTCTGAACACAGCTAGAGGAATTAGACTTCGCAGATGATCTGGCACTTCTCTCACATAATCACATGCAGATGCAGGATAAAACAACCTGCCTGGACACAGTATCTGTCAGCACAGGACTTAAAATCAGTAAAAAGAAAACAGAACTCATGAAGATCAACACCACAAATAGTACACCAGTCATCATTGGAGGGGAAGAGGTGAAGGAGACGGAAGCCTTTGTGTACTTGGGTAGTGTGGTCGACCGACAAGGGGGCACGGATAGAGATGTAACAGCAAGGATTGGGAAGGCAAGGGCAGCGTTCATCATGCTAAGGAAGGTCTGGGCCTCTAGAGGGATTCGCAGAGCCACTAAACTTCGCATCTTCAACTCCAACGTCAAATCAGTCCTCCTCTATGGATCAGAAACATGGCGAACAACAAGAGCCACACAGCACAGGTTACAGATCTTCATCAACACCTGTCTCAGAAGAATCTTTAAGATCAGGTGGTGGGACAGAGTCAGCAACCAGGAGCTGTGGGACAGAGCAGGTCAGAAACCCATCAGAGAACAGATTTTAAAGAGGAAATGGTCCTGGATAGGACACACGCTGAGGAAGGCCAACTCTAGTATCACTCAGCAGGCCCTGACCTGGAATCCGCAGGGGAAGAGAAGGAGGGGTAGACCTAAGAACAGCTGGAGAAGGGACACGGAGGAGGAGATGAGGAGTATCAGCACCAGCTGGCAGGACCTGAGAAAGAAGGCCCAGAGACGAGTGCAGTGGAAGAACATCATCGGTGGCCTATGCCCTGGCAGGGGCGAAGGGCCTAAGTAAGTAAAAGTAAGTTGCTGTGTCAGGTGGCAACTAAATGTGATATTCTTTATTCAATGTGGAACAGTGAGTTGTAATGCCAGCATTGATGATACCAGAATTATGTGCTGTATTTACATAATTAATATGCAGATATGCTAATTAGCAATTAAAAAAATCCCAAAGATGCTTTAGTTCTTACCCTTGCTGTGTCAGGTGGCAACTGAATGTGATATTCTTTGTTTAGAATATGGAACAGTGAGTTGTAATACCCGCATTGAGGATACCGATATTATGTACAGTACTAACCTAATTAATATGCAAATTACCAACATGTCAAAATACCTCGAGATTATCCATTTGTTACCCTTGCTATGCCAGGTGTCAACAGAATGATAAATACAATAATTTCTGAATGCAAAGCAGCAAATTATTCTATCTGCTACGAGGATACCTAAGATATATACTGTATTTACCTTATCAATATGCAAATTACTAATTAGATAAGATTTTGTTATGACTGATAATATGGTATTCTGATACCTATTCCGAAAGTGGACAGTTGCGTTAACTTGCATGGCGATGATAACAACTGTAAGTAATAAACTCCTGCTGAATATTAATGTGCCCAAAAATGCAGTGTTTTGCATTGATTTATAGGTCCCTCCGGTGCCGTTTAGGTCCCATTAAACTAATGGTTAGGATTTCCCAAAAAATACCAAAATATATTACTTCAAAATTTGGTATCTTGACTTAGCTTTGTTCGATTTGAAATCTGAAAATGGCATTTTGTTCGGGACGACAGGATCTATAATTTGGGCCTAATTTCTATATGCCATCGGTAAAGGAAAAAATCATGTTTGCTAGCTATGAATCGGTTTTGCATGTTGTTACCTTTAGGATGCGCTGGGGTCCACCGTTTCTCACACTTTGGTAAGGATGGCGGCCGATACAAAAAGTGCAGTATGCGAAATTTCGGCGCTGTGAGTCATACTGATCCGTTATTGACGCTTACCAACGTTTACCGACCCATTCTATGTCTTTAGACGGGTGGTTGATGATGGTGAAGACAATGTCTAAGAACGGTCAGCGACGTTCGGGGTCCGGAAGCGACGACTTGAAGTCCTTGAACAATTCTGCACGTTCGACCGGCGAAGTCGCCATGGCGGACAAGTCACTTCTGGACGAGCTGAAAGCCACGATTGAAGCTGCTCTACAGCCCGTGCACGAGAAGCTCAAAGATATAGCAGCAGCGAGGGATGTGCAGTGTCATGGTGCCACGACTCACGGTGCAAGCATTTCCAAGCAGTCAAACAGTCAGTCTTGAAGAAAGGCTTCTCAGACTAGAGCAAGGATGAAGTTGACTTCCAACACCCTACTTCTCTCCACATGTGAACACATACCGGACTCTTGTCAAGTCTTCCAGCCTACCGGAGTAACCACACATTTGAAACAGTCAACATGAACATCGCACAGGTGAACATCCGTTCCATCAATACGTCATCAACACTCGTCGAACACATGTGCATCTCTGACAAAACATTGACATACCCTGTTTATCAGAGGTCTGGAATAAAACAAACCACAGTGCCCTAAGTGACATGAAACTGACCTTCAGGAGTAGAGGCACAAAGAGAGGAGGAGGAGGAGCCATGACCAAAGACCACATCAAAGTACTAGAAATAAAACCGACCAACACGACACATGCGGACATTGCAGCTGTTAATATCTACTCAGACACTACGAGCTTTAATATGCCTCATCTCATATGTCCCACCAGATAACAAGGAAGGACTATACAAAAAGTCATGTGCACACTTAAGTTTCTCCAGCGCACCAACAAACCCCTAATACTGTGCGGAAACTTTAACGTCCGTCACCCCGCATGGGGGGATGAAAGGGAAAACCACCCCGGAACCCTCCTCAACAACCATGATGATAGCAAACAACCTTCACGTCATGAACAACCACAGACCAACAAGAGAGAACAGTGTTATTGATCTCACAATCACAAACGGACAAGCGACACAGCTGATAGAGAAATGGAGGGTACAACCTGAAGTTCAGCTGAAAACTGACCACCACCTGATCACTATGCAAGTTGGAACCAAGAAACCAGACATAAAAGTCCAAAGATGGGATCTTCGCAACGTGGACTGGCAGAGATAGAGGAATCTACACATGAGCATAATTCACAAATTGGTTGGAGCAAAATGCAGACAACACAATCTGTCAGCACCATTGTGTCTAGCCTGTGAAACCCAAGCTCCGGGGGGGCTCCCTACATAGTCCGCCACTACTAGGGAGCCGGCGAAAACGAGGTTCAGTCAGGCTACACTGTGTCTGACCTGTACGAAAGCTTCAAAGCCACCATGATAAAATGCACAGAAGGAATCATAAGCAAGAGGACCATCACCAGACACAGCAAAGGTTACTGGAATGCTGCACTAGAAAAATAAAGATCACAAAAACCGCCCTCAGAAAATTCCACAGAAGCAGGGACTCCCACAACCTCAAGTACCTGAAGGAGAAAGAAACATGGAAGAAAATGCACGCCCGAACAAGAACTGGGAATTCTGACCGCGCAAGAACTGGGAATCATGATCACGCAAACCGCACTGCGACCTCTACTGGTCGTTCTCGAGAGCGGAAGTGTTCGGCGGAGGGCTACGCGCAATTCTCTGTGATGAGGCCTTCCGACCCAATCACACCATAACTAAAAAGCATAGACCCAGAGAAACCACAGGCCTTCTGGAAAACAATCAAAATCCACCTCAGCAAGAACACAAAAGGCTAAGCAGTTATACAACCCTTGAATCACCTCTGTAAAAATGAAAGCGTCCCCGACGGAGAAACGCCCGTCCGACGCCGTCCCTGCCCGTCCTTAGCGGGAAACGGCGTCCTGACCGTCCCAACACAGTTGGCAGCGTCCACAAACTCCCGTCGGACGGCCGTCAACGGAGATCTAGCCATCACATACAAAGAGATCGCACAAGTGGCTACTGACACCTATGCCCCTAGCGGGGTAGATATGCCCGGAGAGCTTTCTCATGCCCTGGTTTTGATTCAGTGGTAACATCACATATACACAGCCAAGAGCCAACATCACATATCACTGCATCAAAGTAAGAAACAAAACATTAAATCAGAGCCTTTTCTTGTCTCCTCTGTTCATAGTTATCTGCCATGACCTTCCAGCATGGCAACAGACATCTTTGCCCATTTTCGGCATGTTGACCACTGTCAGAAGGCAACAAAACTTCTCATTTTTTCCAAAATCAGGCGAAAATAATTGCGCGCTCATGTCATCCATAAAACTTACTTGCTGTGGCCTAACCAAATGAAACAAGACACCAAGATACTCATCCGGAAGCCCGGCAAGGACAACTACAACCAGATCAAGTCATACCGTCCGATCACCCTATCCAGGCAAGATAATGGAGCGTGTTGTCAACAACCGCCTCACATGGTGGCAGACATCCAACACAGGCGGCAGACCGGCACCGAAGTGCTTGGGTGTCCTCCGACTCACCCAGCACATCCAAGAAGCATGGAAACAGAACCAATTGCCAAACAACAGCCGCTTTCTTCGAAGATAATGAAGCCTGCTTCGACTGGGTATGACAGGAAGGCCTACCACTGTACAAACTCATCAGGAGAGGTATCCAAGGTAGGATGCTCTGTTTTAATACCTCCACTACTTCCTGAAAGACAGAGAGGCCAACTTCAAAATCAACTCTATAACTACAACAACACAGCAACACAACAACAGACCAAAGTAAGAATTCCCTCCACAAGGGGCAGTCCTATCCACTACACTCTGCAACATCTACACAGCAGACGCATACTCAGACATCCCACTCAACAATTTCTAGTATGTTTTCCCGATGTTTAGAATAGGATGTTTTCACCCAACCAAAAAAAAATTCCAGTGCAAAAAATAGTCCCCGATAAAAAGCCTAAAACACGCCAAAATAACCAAAAACCTAAAACTCTGCTTGGAGAGTAAAATATAGCCATAACTTTGGACTGTGAGCTTTCATAAATAACATCACATATACGTTTATTGCCCACGACCGCCAAGTATGGCGCAGGACGCTGTGCAGACGGAGGGACGACTTTGACGCAGGCCACTCACAGAGATAAGGAGACCTACTCAAGTACAAGTACAAGTAAGTATACGTTTATTGGTCCAATATATCTCCTATTCACGTACTCGGTTTGATCTACGTAAATAACCAAGTAAAATCTACCTATGTTAACACATTCGAAAGAGCATTGTAACCGTTCTTACATAGCTACAGTTAGTAATAATGTGGTATTTATTTTCAGCTATTTATTGTGGCTCTGGAATGAAGTACCACAGCTTTCCGAACTGTTATCGTGGTTCAGATGTGTGAGTATATTATTGTAATTCATACATATGTTTGTAATGAATGCATGATTGGTTGATATGATGTTTATTAAATGAAACACAATAAAGTAAGATAAGGTACTATTTACACTCTACAACGTATTATGTGAATATTTAGCAAGGAGTTCCTTTATTGATTTGTTTATTATTTTGTATTATTTAATTTCTATTTCGTTTTGTTACATTTCAAGTTGAACAGATAGGTAATCCCTGAATAATGAGTAATGTGAGGTCTGTTTCGCCTATATATAATCTTGTATCGTTGCATAATCTTGGATATTGTGTCGCTGAATAATTTATGCTCCTGCTGCTAATTCTTTGTTTTTGTTTGTTTTTAGTTGCCGAATACGGTAATTCATGATAAAGCGTGACGGTAAGCACAAGGCTACTGAGTAGCTAAAGTTTGTCTCCGTAGTTCTAACTTTGTTTTGTAAAACCACTGCAGGTAAAATCATCCTCTGTTAACACATTAACCCTACCTAGACCGGGCTTTTTGGCCTTGGTGGAACTGGGGTGGGGTATTGATGAAATTTAATGAAAATAACCTGTATATACCTGTTCTAATGATATGGTCCGCCATCTTGGATTTTGGCCAATGACGTCATCAAAT